TTCTTTTTTTTTTTTTTTTTTCTTTTTCAAATATGTGACAAAAAAATTCCCGAATTTTTCGAATATTCCTAAATACGGTTAAGTCATTGCTTACTAAATTAGGGAAAGTTTGATTAAGTAACATAAACAAAGTAACTAGAAAAAGGCATACGATAAAAAATAAAAATGATTATTCATCCAATTAAATGAAAAAAAAATAAAAAAAATAAGACTCTTTTTTAATCCTGCATGTGTCTGTTATTATTCTATTAAGGCACAATATTTCATAAAAGGTGCACAGTCATTTAATTACTATGAGTACAAAATGTAAATAAATTTAATGTACATAAAAATTCTCTAAACCTGGTAAATTAAAAACTAGAGAAATTTTTTTTTTTTTTTCCTTCTTAATTTTACTACATTACATTAATTCATAAAGTTGTTTCACAATGTATGTAATAACTTGCAGTTTTTTTTTTTCTTTTACTTGCATCTTTAAAGTTTTGATTTTGGTAAAGAAGTACAATGGTAAAAATATAAATGGAATTAATTAAAAAGTTGATCAATTACAAAATATATTTTTTCTTTTTATCTTGATGTTTTCATTTTAGAGTTTACTTAAAGTTTTGGTGACTAAAGTTTAATTAGAGTTTAAGGAATAAAGTTCAATTCTTGTAATTCCTGTGCAATATATAAAAAAAAAATAATTCAATTTTTTAACGGTTTTCCCCGCATAATAAAAAATCAGGTGATTATTAAAAGATTCGATTCCTAGAAAAAATTTAAAGAATGTGCGAATGCACATGATTTTATATCTTTTGTGCTCGCTAATAAGTGAAAAGGTGGAACGTAAAAACTCAAATTAATTCATCATGATTATATAATTTGTAAATACTTATGCAATAGCTTCTATGATTTATAAAAGAAGTTTTTTTACTTTAAAGAATCCTGAAAAAGAAACCTAGAATATACATTCTTAAACTTACATTTGAAACAAAAAGATTATTTTATAAAGACTCCATAAAAGGACTTGTTTTTACGCCTTCACATGTTAATTAATCCAAAGAATAAAAACAATCAATCTTTGAAATTTAATTATTTTTATACGCATCCAATTAGCTGTAATGGGGTCCATTGTAAAAAAGAAATATTATTTTAAGAAGAAAAAAAAATTTTTTTTTTCCCTTACTATAAAAAGATATAATGGAAATAAGTACTAGATTAAAAATAATGGAAGTAACCTAACTCTAATATTTGTCCCTGCATATTACTTACATGCTACAACATTTGGTTCCCGTTCCCTAGATTCCATGCTATTAATATTGTCCCTCCCCCTTTTCCCGCGCTTATATACAAATAAATTTTAATTAAATGTTTGATAAGCTTTTTTTTTATCCCCTTTCTTCCCCCAAAAAAATTATTGAGGGGAAAAAAAAAAATATTTTTTGCATTCAATTCACATAAATGTTTTTCCACGAGTTCATCATAAGGTACTAACAAGTTTTTCTCTTCTTTTCTTCTCAAATACCTTGGAACAGGTTTTTTTGTTTCATGGATATTATTTATTATTCAGGGGATGAATTATGAATGTATTAACGGAATATTCTTAAAATAAAAAAAATTTATTTTTTATTTATTTATTTATTTTTTTTTTTTGTGAAACTAACAATTGATAATCTAAGCTTATACCATCCCCATGGGAAAAGAAATACAGTGGCAGTGTTGGCAGTGTTTGAGGGAAAAAAATGTGATTGTATAAATTTTATTTGGTATATTGTATATTGTATTGTATATTTCGCGTAAATAATTTTTTGTAAACGCGAGGTGGCGCAGATGATCTTTACTTGATTTGGATTTTAATTTTTCTATCCGACGAATTTTAAATACAGGCTTTTTTTTTTTTATTATTATTATTTTTATTTTTTATTTTTTATTTTTTTTTTTTTTTTTTTTTTTTTTTTTTTTTTTTTTTTTTTTTTTTTTTTTTTTTTTTTTTT